GTGCTTCATAAACATTTTTTGACAAAATAATATTAAGATGCTTGTTACATATTAATAAAGCCCACAGAAGCATAACAGCCTCATTGACTGTAATCAGCACTTACAAATAAGGTGCATTAAGTTAGCATGACAATGATTTTAACAAATGCAAAATAACAATTGGCAGTGATAATTAGCAATATTGTCAGCAAAGCCTAATGAATTCTTTATATCTTTTCCTATAAAGCAATTTAATTTCAACAATGCCTAAATTTAGCTTATTTTGAAAAAAATCAATATAGAAATTGCTGATTCCAATTAATTTGGCTTCACTTAAAAATGTTTTGAAACATTTATTTATTTGGGGAGAGAAAAATAACAGTTGCATGTTTTATTTATTAAAGTAAAATGAATGGCATATGAGAAGAAAAGGTTTTTAAATTGCATGTTTGGAAATCTGGCATGCAGAGAGTCAGCAGTATATTTTAAGGAATATTCTGATTTCCTTAAAATATTTAATAAATATGGTATAGGTGAGCAAGAACTTGGTTGAAAGGCAGAAATTCTAAATATCGATCTTTACTCTGCTGCTACCTGTGTCTGCAAACTCTGGTAAACTGCTTACTTGCAGGCTCCAATTCCCTTATCTACGAAATAAAGGAAGTGGACTGGCTCATCTCCCAGAAATCTGCTGGCCAGAAAATCATCATTTTAAGTCAGATTTCTCTTAGAATTTTTTTGCACATAGTTCTCTTTAAAAATCCCTCCAAACTATGCAATGAGTTATAACTAACATCCCCAACTGTCATACCAGCTTGTTTTACTGCCTCCTTGCACACTAACTCGGTTCTTTGTAAGAATAGTGACAGATATTAATGCCTCACAGGCATAAGATCATCTCTAGTTAAAAAAAAAATTGTAAAGGACCTAGAAAAATTACTTGCATAGATGTCTATCTATTGGAATAGTATATGCGAACCCCCAATGTTCCAAAATAAAATTCAAAACAAGCAAATTTTTCATATTCGGTGGATGTGAAGAGTGATGGGACCTTATATTTAAGCTACGTAAAACCAGTTGACACATGCAGGATGTGTGCTGAAAAGGTACTTGGCTATTTGGGAAATATGGAAGACTCGCACTGTTTGTGCCTTGGGATACCCAGGTTTCAGAGAATTGCCAGATGGTAAAACTTCTCAAAAGCCCATAGTTTCTGCTTATGCAGATTTTGAATTAGTGAATCAAACTAAGAAAAGGTGAATCGCAAAGCACAGAGTAGCAATAAGACCTGTCTAGAAATGTCTAATAGATAACAGAATTGAGTAAGAGCCAGAAAGTTCAGGGTAGAGTCATGAGAATATAACTCAAGCAATATTTTAAGCACTTGAAACTGAATTAAAGCCATAAAATGCTTCAGTGGATCCTTACATATGACTGCAATTTATCACATCACACTAAACACCACAGAGCCTTAAACACTTGTGCTGCTTTTCAAAACAGAGGTCAACTTGAATGACCACAACCAATGCAGCAAAAACTTCTGGAATTTCAGCCATGATCTGAAAAAGATTTGCACTTTTCCTTTTGGAAGGTCGTGTTAAAAATCAGTAAGTGGTAAATATGTAACAGCAAACTAAACACAAGTATGTTAAAGAAATATAAATGACAGTTGCTTATTAAAATAAGATGTTAGCTTTAACTGATAACTAATTATCATCATTTTCCACTCATTAAATCATTCACTCATTCAACACATATTTATCAAGCACCTATTATGTCACAGGTCCCATTGTGAGTGTTTCTGGGAATTCAGTTTTGAATAAGATTTAGGAAACTTATATTTTACTGGAAGGATGATGAGATTGATGAGACAAATTCTACTTACTCATATATTAATGTATTTTATTATATATAAGCATACAACTTTCGATAGCAATTAGTGTTAAGAAGAAATCCCAACAAGGTAAAGTGATGCAGAGTGACACTGGGCACAGGGGAAGGGGGACATTAGATCAGTGGTCAGGTAAGTCCTCTCTGAGAAGTTGACATGTTACCCAAATATAATGATAAAATGACATGAATGCCTCACCCTCAGACAAAACAAAACAGAACAGAACAGCTGGCTGCAGAGTATATAACTCCAGGCAGAGAGAACTGTAAGTGCAAGGGCCATGGGCAGCGGAAGGTTGGCATTTTTAACAAAGCCAGACTGACTGGCATCGGCAGTAGGCAGGAAATGTTCAGCAACTGCTCTCAAGAAACAAGCCACCCCAAGCCAAAGCATTTATTGATTTCCATAGTGTAAATATATCCATGTTGGCTGATTTCAACCTAACAACATGGTAACACTGAATGCAGAGTTGGGAGGACACAAAGGTTGAGCCGGGGCCAGTGCTCCACGGCTTGTTCAAGACAAAGGCAGCAGCAGGTGGTGGCAGCGGGGTCAGATAGGTGGGCAGAGGCCAGGCCATTTAATGCCATGTGGTCAATGGTAAGAAATTTAAGTTTTATTCTTAGAAACCACTGGAAGGTTTTTTTTTTTATTTTGTTTTGCTTTGTTTTTTTAAGTTTGTCTGTTGCTTGTTGGATAAAGTACTGTGCAGGAGGAAAGATATGCAGTTAGGAAGCTATCGCACTAGCCAGGGCTTGGAATAAGGTGGCGGTGTTAGAGACAAAGAAAAGCAGATAAGTTCAGGACACTTTTGGACATTTTTGAGTAGGAGTTTACTTGTTAATGGACATATTGAGTGTGGGGAACAGAAGAAGAGGAATGAGGAATAATGAGAAGGTTTCCTTCAGCAATTGTGCAATGGTGGACAGAAAGCAATCGGTGGAGGGCAGGGAGGTAGATGGAAGCCAGAAAGTGTTACTTTGGCCTTACTAAGCTTGAGATGTCTAGCAAACATGTTGACTAATATTCTATTAATAGCTAAAATAAGCCATTCTCTTATCTATTCTGGCCAATAAACTCTTCATGCAGGCATCAGTATTTCCATTTATAGATATAATCATGAAGGAACAGGTAAATTTTCCAAGGTTATGTAGCTGGGAAATGGCAGAGGTAAGATTTGAACCCAGTTTTAACTATAGATCCTGTGTATTTAAACCTAGGATACATGTTCATTATAATTATTTAAAATAATTTTTAAAGTGTGCTGTTCTGATTTCTCTGATAATTCCCTGTCACTTGCCACATTAAAAATATATTATTTATTGTGCATATGAGAAAATGGTAAGGCAGACTCTCATAAGGTAGGCTACTTAGGAATAGAATGTCAAACCATGTGAAGGACATTAATTGATTTAGAGCAAGCTCCCCTCTTAGAAAAATCCACGTAGTAGTACCTGCATTACTGTACCAGGCAGATGCTTTAGCCTCCTAGGAGTTTCTATAATACTTGGTACAGTACATATTTCTAGAAGAAATAACAGTAAGTAATGCAGACTATTCATACTTTTACTTATAGATAAACAAAATATTATCAATAATTGAGCTGTAGTCTGCTTAGCAATTTAATCCTATAGGAAAAGAATGAGCTAGAATTATACTCCGTTCTGGTTTTGCTATTTAGTAATGTAACATTCAGTCCCACACACATATGATAGTGTGGTTGTAGCTTATTTTGAGCAGCAGAAAAGAGTAGTTAGAGAGTTTCCAGATGTGCTACTCTACAGCCATGCAGTCAGTAAATAAAAAATATGATGATAGTTGGAATGCTAATGTCTTTTCCCCCCAAAAGTCAAAGATTTAAAGGTTTGCATGATTAAAAAGCTGCTGCTTCAATTTCTACTATATTGCCAAAGTTGATCTATCTTTGGGCTGCCATCAAGTAAGAGCTTAAAAAGAGCAAAGGAAAAGTGATTTGTGAGATAAGGAATAAAATTCTCAAACTTTTTTCTTTGGAACATTTTGATATTTTCCAGGTCCCTAGAACACTAAGAATTTGAGAATAACATGGCATCTGGGATCTAAAAGATGCCATATTTTTTTGAATTTTCACATGTCATCTACCAATTTGACTTTTAAATCATAGCAGTGAATGTGTATTTTAAGTTTTGTGTCAGAGACTTCGTTCCTGGAAAACAGGATCAAACTGCAGATTCTAGACCTGATATCTAAAACTCCCACATTCTCCCAAAAAGTCGTTAAAAAGTATACATAGAATTTTGGTTACACGTGAGTTTTAATGATATCGAAAATACGCCAGGGAAGTAATTGAACATAGAATTGTGGTCACATATGAGTTTTTAAAAAAAATCATCTAGTTTGACTTTTTTTTTCCACACAATATCTGATTGCTTTCTATATCACCCATATCAAGTGATCTTCAGACATCTAATTGAATACTTTTCCCCCAGTGGCCTCTGAAACACCAGTCCATTTTAGGGCAGCTTGAAAAAAAGCACTCAGAGAGTTGTGCTTTGTGACAAGGGTCACATAATGCTTTACTTTCCAAGACTGCCAAAATACTTTGACCTAAGGCACCAATGTCACTGAAACGCATTTTTGCCTCCCATCATGCGCTTTAGCTCCATTTTTAAGGCCCAGTAAGACAGGCTTCCAAATACATTAATTTTACTGATAACTTAAATTTTCACTCTTTATAACTCAGTACTCTCCATAACTCATAACTCCTCTATGTCAATATTGGCCAAAATTTTCACACATTTGGTCTTCACATTTCTCATTTAATGGCGACAGCCCTTCATTGAAATCAGTTACACTTCTGCTATTTGTCCTTATATTAAGAATTCTAAATCCCTGGTTTTCCCCCAAATTTCACAGTTTGGCTCCTTGGTACCAGGACTTGGTTCTTGAGCAGTCTGTGCATTTAGATAAATGCTTTACTGAACCAGTTTCTTGTGAAAGTTCCTCCTAACAGGCTGACTCACCCATGTCTATCATAAGAGAATAGAGGGCTAGAACCATCTGAATGTTTTCAAAGCTGAAGTACTTTAAATGTCCCCTCACTCAAGCAATAGAGTGTAAGGTCACACCCAGAGGTACTCGGGTGGCTTACAGGACACGGATGCATTCTGTTTTACAGGAAAAGAGCTTTGCTTGTGATGTTCTTAAGCCCTTACCACTTACGTATACATTTCATAAAATGATTTATAATCCAGAATTTCAAGAATTAGTAAATTTCAACAAATATTTAATTTACTGGTACACAAAACCCACTTTTACTCGTATTATGAAGAAATTATTCATGAACGAGGTTGCAATGGACTTACCTGAATCTGTAGCTGTGATCATTAAGACAAAATGCTCCTTGGTTTCCCTGTCCAGACTCTGTGTTACTTTAAGTTCTCCACTGGCCGAGAGAGTAAAAGCATTGTCTTCATTACCACCAAAAAGAACGTATGAGAGTTTGCTGTTAGATCCTTGATCATCATCTCTTGCCACCACCTGTAGGAGAGAATAGTACACGCCATGCATGTGAGCCAAATAAAGACAATGCAAACCATGGAATTCAATGTATTCATTAAAAATAACAAGGTAGAACTACGCTCAAAGATTCCTAAGTTGGCTGGGCGCGGTGGCTCAGGCCTGTAATCCTAACACTCTGGGAGGCCAAGGTGGGCAGATCGCTCAAGGTCAGGAGTTCGAGACCAGCTTGAGCAAGAGCGAGACCCCATCTCCACCAGAAAATAGAAAGAAATGATCTGGACAACTAAAAATATGTATATATAGAAAAAATTAGCCGGGCATGGTGGCACATGCCTGTAGTCTCAGCTACTCGGAAGGCTGAGGCAGAAGGATCGCTTGAGCCCAGGAGTTTGAGGTGGCTGTGAGCTAGGCTGACGCCACGGCATTCACTTTAGCCCGGGCAACAAAGCGACACTCTGTCTCAAAAAAAAAAAAAAAAAAAAAGATTCCTAAGTTGTAATATTTCAAGTAAAACACTAAAAAGTGCAGTATAGTATATATTTCATGAATCTATTTATGTAAAAATGTGCATAAAACTAATGCCTAGCATTTTTGGAAGGCTTCACAAAAATTTTTAACAGCAGTTTCACCTGGGTAATTGAATTTATGAAGAGGGAAGGTAAAACAGTATTTGTAACAAATTTTTCAAACATTTACATCATTTTATTTTCTTACTATGTGCAGATATTACTCTCATAGTGAAACAAATTCAAAACCACAAATACATAAATGTGTGCAACATGGATATACACAAAAGAATGTAATTGAAATGCAATATGTTCATCTACGAGGAAATTAATAGGCTCTTAGGTTTGGTGATTATAAACCTTTTTGAGATTTGCTGTATCTGTGAGCATTTATGGATGAGAATGGGGAGAGGGTGGGGAAGCATGAACATTGTAGAAGAGGGGAGACTTTCAGTTAGATGTCTTATAGTGAACACATATTGTTTTATTTAAATATACTGACCTGAAGTATTGTTCTGGGTAGTGTCTCTAAATTCTCAGGGACGTTTACAGAATATGGAGATAGCTCAAATATAGGAACAAAATCGTTAATATCCAGTAGAACAATGCTCACGGTAGAGGTATCAGTTCGGGGGGTGCTGCCCCGATCTGTTGCCTGAACAGTTAAAAGGTAAGTAGGGGTCTTCTCTCTATCCAAAGGCTTAGCCACAGTGATGGCTCCTGTGACAGAGTCGATTCGAAATTCCTGATTGGCATTACCATCAACAATGCCATAGCGAACCTGTCCATTTGTACCTTCATCTCCATCTGCTGCAAAGACTTGTATTATATCTGTTCCAGTAAGTGTGTTTTCATTTATCTCCACCTTATACAAAGCTTGTGCAAAAATGGGGTTGTTATCATTGATGTCAAGTACCATAACCACGACTTCTGTAGATGAAGAGAGAGACGGTTGCCCTTTGTCTGTAGCCACCACTGTCAGAGTATAATTAGAAACCTCTTCTCTGTCCAGTTCTCCAGTGAGCCTCACTTCACCGTCAATGGTTCCAATACTGAACTTGTTTCCCAAAGGGTTCAGCAGGGTGTACTCAATGTAGCTGTTTGGGCCACTATCTGGGTCAGTTGCTTGGGCTTTGAAAACAACAGTATCAATAGGTGTGTTTTCTGGAATGTATGTCAACTTAGGGGAAAGAAATGCTGGTGGGTTATCATTTACATCCAACAAAATAATGGAGACTTGAGCAGTGCTCGTGAATCTGGAGGCTGCAAGCTGTGGTAGGTCATGCACCTGAACAACCAAGTTGTAGAAGGACTGACTTTCCCGATCCAGGGCTTTTAGAACTTTAAGTACGCCATTCTTGTCAACTGTAAACTGTCCGAGGCTATCACCTGAAGCAATGCTATAAGCCAATTGAGAGTTGATGCCTGAAATTGAGGGAAAAAATAAAACTGTCTTAAATGTATGCCGATAGCAAACTAAGCTGCACCAAATCTTCTGGCCTGCTTGATATATCATGCACTCAGACACACGTTATGAATGATTTAGCTGCAGTTAATTTATTTAGTAAATAATGCATACATATAACTCTTTTCCTGCTAACTTTTGATCTGAAAAGATGTTTACAATCTGGTGAACAAATGATCTATATACTGCTTGCTATTTACTAGGGTGTTGAAATGTTAAATTATAAAAGTATTCCATAGAGTGGATATTTTTCTATACTTTTCCTTTTTTCTATCACATAATTCCCAATGGTCCAATACTAACAGTGCCACACTCCATACTATTAGCCATTTATAACTTCAGTAATTTATTGAAGCCAACACCAATTTTCAGAGAAGAGTAATAAACTGCTCTGATGTATGGCATTACTCATGGATGCTGTAAGTCTACTTTTACATTTCTTGTCAGAACCAATAAATACTTATTAATTCCTATTAACCATCTAGCCAAGTAATAGTCTTCCAGTAAGTAGTTCTTTCTCAAACTTTATTAGATATATTTAAAGTTTTTAAACAATTTTCTTTAAAGGAATCATTAGCAGTGAAACTATACATAAAAGTCTCCAAATACAAATGCCCATACTATCACTGGGCTATATTTAGATAATGTCTATTTTTTCTAGGAACATGTGTCATTTTTTAAGTTAAAAATATATCTAAATTTTTAATTCAGAAAATAATTGCAGAGAATCCTATAACAAAGATAACATGGAGAATAGATCAGCCTATAGTTTTAGTAAATAATTTGAAGGTAAATAACAGATAAGCATTGAAAACAGAAAGAAAAAGTCAGATTTTTCTGTCTCAGAATGGTGTTTTCTTCACTGGCCATAATGTCATGTGTATTTTTATAGTTTATCCTAAAGATATTGGGAATATTAGAGGATATTGTGATAAGAAACATATTATGCACCTAAATAATCCATCTTTAGCAGAGATTTTTATACAGTGGGATTAGGGAATATCTACTGAGTAACATGAATTGCTTACAAATAGCCCCTATATTTCTAAAGTTAATTAACTATCCAGGTTTCTGAATTCCACTATCAGAAATGATGTCTACTCTTTCCCAAGAGTCTTCCAGAACAATTAAATCACCTTTTTGCTCTTAATTTATTTTAAATATTTTTTTTTTTTTTTGTATTCTATGACTGCTTCAGTTAGCTTTTGCCTTTTCTTGAACTTCATCAAGTTTTTTATAAAGGCAAAATTTATCTGAGTAATGAGATTTTCTTTTCTACCATGTAGGGCTTGTTCTTTTTAAAAACGTCACAATTACTTTTTTCCTGTGATTTTATGGTCTTTAAATAATATCCTTTGCTTAACTTGATGTATAGGAAAAATATTTATAAAGATAACTTTCAGGCACTGGCTTATTCACAAAACTTTCTGGGGTAAACAATGGTCGAGTCAATCTTTGAAAAGGTAGGTTTCCCCCCTCATTATAAATCCTGACTTTTAATCTTTACAGTTTATTTAAGACTATTCACAAATGAACAAAGCAGAGGTTATACAGTGTGGAATGGTTAGGAGCCTGAGGATCAGGAAAAAGATGAATAAATAAAGCTAACACAGGTTACTAGTCAATTCACCAGCAGGGGAGAAAGAGAATTTTAAGATCTGGGTAGAATAAAGCCAACAGCCTACTTCAATTTCTTATAATAAAATTCCAAAGGTTTTGAAGGATAAAATCTTCTAGCAATTTCATATACCCACACAATTGGTGGAACTTTTTATTTTTGATTATGTGTATATATGTATATTCACAAATATTTATGTATGTTATATATAATCTAATTACTTTTTATTACTTTTTAAGGAAATTTTCTGCATTTCCTATGACCAACCTACCAGCAAATATTTAGTCCCTATTCTTTTGAGGCCCACACTCAGACATTATTATTAGAAACAGTTATGAAAACACCTGAATAAAAATAATACCAACGGAGATATAAAATTTAGTTCTACGAAAGCACGTAAAATCTTTCCTATCCATGATCAAAGGACGTTAAACATACTGACAAGATTTCACATGGCTGTGAAGTGATGGCCTAGCATTTCCACATAAATCAACAGCAGTGGGAGCGATTAAAGCAAGGATCTGAATACTCTTAAGTCCACCATGTCTGCCGCTTCCTTGGGTAAACAGCTAAATTGCAGAGGCAAAAAGAGAACATGATACTGAGATTTTATGGCCTTGCTGTAAACTGCAGAACAGCCTCTTTTATAAAGGGGAAAAGTTTGGTAAATGGGTGGGAGGAGGAAGTAATAAATTTTAAACTAACTAGAATTATAAA